GTAAGTCTCTAATTCTGAGTAAAACTGGGTAGGGAATAGTTTGCCTGAACTGCTCTCCGAAAATGATCTGCAAGCTGGGAGGTGGGGTACCTAGAAGACAGGCGTGTAGAACACTTAATCATTTTGTATCTAACGCTGCTATTTCGAATGCTAGGCAAAAGGTGCTAAAAAAGTGGAAAACAATTCAGATCTTTGAGCAGTAAACAGAAGAAAAAATACTATTTGTTTTCATAACTGATACAAGTTGGATATAAATGCTTACTTTCTAAAATAGTTGTTTTGCGGAAAATGGTGAGTGTACTAAAATGTATTTAGTATTCCTTTATATGGTCAGCTTTGATAGTCTTGTTCTTCAGGTAGGTTAATTACTGTGACAGATATTGCAGATTCTTTGATAATGGTTTTTTAATATGCATTTATGAAAAGCACAGTTGTATGGTATAGCTTACTGAAGAAAAACCAGTCGTTCCTGAAGTTAGTCAGTGGTTGATAGTAAGCAGCATTAAGAGATGTCAGATACCACTGGACTGTATTAAGCTTCAGAATCTTTGTTGTGCTTCATGCCCTGCAAAGATTTTAATAGAATGTTTCCTAGTTAGCTGAACTTCAGTGTGTGTTCATATGCAGTTTCAGATGCTATCCCTATTTTAAACATAGGAACTAACTAAATTTTGAGAACTGGGAGAAAAAAAAAAACAAACCTACAAAAATAGGGTGTTACAGAAGTATGAGGACAAACTTTTTAGTAGGGCCTGTTACAACAGGACAAGGGGTAGTGGTTTTAAACTAAAAAAGGGTAGATTTAGACTACATAAGGAAGACATTTTTTACAATGCAAGTGGTGAAACACTGGAGCAGGTTGCCCAGATAGATACCCCATCCCTGGAAATGTTCAAGGTCAGGTTGGATGGGAGTGTAAGCCACCTGATCTAGTTGAGGATGACCCTGCTTTTTGCAAGGTGGCTGGACTAGATGACCGTTAAAGGTCCTTTCCAACCCAGACCCTTCTGTGATTCTGTTCTCGTCATTTTTGTGTTCCTGGAGCAATGTCATACACAAGTATGTTCTTGCTGTTGTGGGTTGAAGTATTTTAAGATGTTACTGCCCAGAGGTGGATATTAAGTTACCCCTTCTGCAGCTGAGAAGTGGGAACTGTCTGAGGCTCATTACATGGGTTCTGTGGGAAGACTGGCTTGTTTAAATTGGCATTGGAAGGACTAGAAGCCGTGTCATTAGGTCTGCTTCATTTCTATTTCAGAGGTGAAGGAAGTGTGTAGACTTTGCAGGCTGTTTTGGTTTTTGTTTTGGTTTTGTTTTGGTGGTGTTTTTTTTTCAGAGAATAATAACGGTGGATAGAGAGGGTTTTATTCTAGTAGATTTCCTCTGAAACAATGATGACAGTAGTTTTAAATGCTGATGTAGGCAAAAAGCACCCAGCTTTCAGAAAAGTCATTGAAAAGTGTTTTATTTGCTCTATGCTCATACAAAAATGCCTTTCAGGAGAATTTTTTTTTTAAAACAAAACTTCAGCAATAGGTTTAATTTAATTTTATTTTTCAGGGATATTTTTAATAAACATGGCAGCATTTCATGAGTACTCTTTTCATCTGAAGCTATGTAATGTACAGATATTGCCAGATATGCAAATTGGTTTTCATATTTTTTTTTTTATTAAGGTACTGCTAAATAAGGACAGGAATCTTGAAAATTCTGTTTCTGAATAGTTAGTGCGATACCATTTGAGACTTGTCTTACTGGATGCTTTTTTTGTTTCAACTTTGTTTGTGCTAGCAGAGCACACAGAACATGTTTCTTGCCGGGTTATGAAAGTGTAGACGACTTCTGTCCAGGCTACTGTTTTGATAATCTTTATAAGAAATCTCTTGGGAAAATCAGAGGAATGCTAAAATGAGCATATTAAGTATTAAATGCTCTTACTGTTTGGTATGCTAAATTTATATAAAGTAGATCCAGCTTCCTTGCTTATGTTGTAAGCATAGACCAGTCAATAATGTAGAAAATTTTGTTTTCTATCAGATTCTGAGTTTATGGAGCTTTATTTTATCTTGAAAGAGGAAAAAAAATAGTATTATTTGTTACAGAAACAGTGGAAGAAAAGGCTGTGAGAATGTGTCAGCTGATGTTATGCTTGTTTTGAATCCTGCAGTCAGAATAGTTTTAATTTTCTCTTGTGCTCACACAGAATTATTTGACATCATTAAGTTCTGCAGAAGTTCAAGGAGCATCTTTTCACATGCATTTGATTGCAGGATATGGGCTGTAAATTAGCATGGTATTTTAGTGAAATGCTGCTATGCTGAAGGGAAAAAATCTAGATTAACTGGGCATAGACTTTGACACAAATTTTTAACAGCTGTTTGTTTTAGTTTGTTTTAGCCTTTGATTATACTGAAAATCAGTCTTTAATGTAACTCACCACATGTAAATCTGTGAAACTGAATTGACTATGTTTTGATTCTTCAATAGAGGCTTACAGCTAATCCAGGAGGTAAGCAACGTAGCAGGCTGTCCATCATGTCTCAGCATCTCTGCACTGTTGAAAACTGTTTCGTGATTCCAGGTGAAGCTTTTGTTCCAAAGCCAGAGGTAAATTTTGATTATTTCTTCTGGGGCTTTTTTGTTCATATGTTAGTCAAACAGTGTATCTGATTTTGAGTAAGGAACACAGGTGCTGTAGTTCCTCTCCATACTATGAAGTGATGTGATTTTCCTGTAAACAAAACATACTTGCTTCAATAAGGTGCTTTTCTTTTTGGTTATTCAGAACTTGGCTTTGGCCTTCAAGCTTGTCTGCAAGATCAGAATACTTCTTTGGGTGCTTCTGAAAAACTGATCAGGATTTAATGATATGATACCTCGTTAGGATTGTAGCATCTTTGGAAAGCCTACAGTTTTACAGTTTGCATTTATAAACAGTTTGGGAATTATGCCTAGAAAAGTTGATGGGTCTTTTGAAAGACCCTGATAAATAAAAGCTTTTCATTTGTCATCTTTGTCAAAGATCTCTAATTTTACCATGTCTATAATCTTTACATTCCACCCTACTCATCTTTATCATATTTAACTCCCTCCTATTCACTATAGCACTTTGTCAGTTACATCCCACTGCCTATTTAAAAAAGTAATGACCTTTTCTCCCTTTGTTCTTGAGTAGAGAACAGTCTCTTTGCTGTCCTATTATCTGCTGGTTTTTATTAATAGCCAGTATGATTATAGGAGTAAAAAATTAATAAACTGTATTTTGGGCAAGAATGTACCTTATTTGTTTGTTTGTTTGCTATGTAAAAATGTGTGCCTGACACTTGAGTGGGGTCTGTTTTCCCTGAATGCATACGGAAAAGTACTGTTCTGTTTCAGAAATGAACTTTCAGCTTCTGAAAGTTCCTCTTAAACTGGTTAGTTCAGCTTATCAGTACATATCACTCCTCCCTTATTGCAGTCTATTTCCTGGTCTTTTTACCCTTCAGGCTTACCTCTTGACAATGTTTGGAAGATTATTCTCTCTCTGTTTATCATAGAATCATAGAATAGTTAGGGTTGGAAAGGACCTTAAGATCATCTAGTTCCAGCCCCCCTTCCATGGGCAGGGACACCTCACACTAAATCATGTCAACCAAGACTTTGTCCAACCTGGCCTTGAACACCGCCAGGGATGGAGCATTCGGAGATGGAATTTCCCTAGGCAGCCCATTCCAGTGCCTCAGCACCCTAACAGGAAAGAACTTCCTCCTTATAGCCGATCTAAACTTTCCCTTTTTAAGTTTTAACCTGTTACCCCTTGTCCTGTCACTACAGTCCCTAATGAAGAGGCCCTCCCCAGCATCCTATAGGCCCCCTTCAGATACTGGAAGGCTGCCATGAGGTCTCCACACAGCCTTCTCTTCTCCAGGCTGAACAGCCCCAACTTCCTCAGCCTGTCTTCTTACGGGAGGTGCTCCAGTCCCCTCATCATCCTTGTGGCTTGTTCCAACAGTTCCATGTCCTTTTTATGTTGAGGACACCAGAACTGCACACAATACTCCAAGTGAGGTCTCACAAGAGCAGAGTAGAGGGGCAGGATCACCTCCTTCGACCTGCTGGTCATACTCCTTTTGATGCAGCCCAGGATACAGTTGGCTTTCTGGGCTGCGAGCGCACACTGCCGGCTCATGTTCATTTTGTGATTGACCAACACCCCCAAGTCCTTCTCCGCATGGCTGCTCTGAATCTCTTCTCTGCCCAGCCTGTAGCTGTGTCTGGGATTGCTCCGACCCAGGTGTAGGACCTTGCACTTTGCATGGTTAAACTTTATACGGTTGGCATCAGCCCACCTCACAAGCGTGTCAAGGTCCCTCTGGATGGCCCCTCTGGATTTATCACAATAAATTTTAAGGCCTCTATCTGGGCATATTCTGATGATAATTTAAAGTTTTGTTACTATTTTTTGAGCAAGTAATTGATCAAGTACGTTCTGTTATTAATCATGACAGCAGTCTGCTGTGAAGAAAAATGACCACGCTTAAGACATTTTTTGCTTTACATTTTTAGATTGGTGGTGGGGACTTTTTCCTGTCTCCTAGGTGAATGAAACATGAATTCAGTATATCATATCCCTTTTAAGTATGTGAAAAAATCTCCAGTAAGGCCAAAATTCCACTTTATGGTGGTTTCTCAGTTGTGGATGCAGTGTAAGGGCACAGTAGAGCTAGTGTAGACAAAAGTCATGTGCAGACTGTGCCTCAGAATTAGGAAGCTGTACCTAATATTCCCATTTTCCTGTGCTGAAAAGACCACAATTGGTTCAGGGATAGGTAACTTATAGAATTGTGACAAATGTTTAATATAAGCAAAATCCTACAGTCAGCTGATGCTCTGTTGAATAAAAAAGTCAGTACCACTAAAGGCAAGCATATCTTTATTTGATATATTTCTTTGACTTAATACCATTTGTGTTGCAAAAGCAGAAAGTACAAATTTTTCAGACAGACCTAGCACCTGTTCTGAATATATTTTATTTCCTTCAAACTTCTGTTTTACGTGGATCTTCTGCTTTGTCCCTGTTCTTTTAGCCATATACTGACATGTGGGTTTAGATACTTCCATTCTGATAAAATCTTTTGTTTTCATGGAAAGCTCTTCAGCATATTTTGAACAAAATGGCTCAGCATTTGATTTTTGTTTCATAGGTATACGAAGAAGTTTAAGTACTTCTGTATAAAATTCACTGCTTTTGTAATCAGTGAATACTTCATTTTGCTTATAGTTTACAATTCTTCCATTTCACTTATGCCCTCCTGTAAAAATGCTGTTGGTTCTTATTTTACAGTGTTAATTTTAATTCACATGCATAGCAATGATCACACATCAGTGTCATGTCAACCCCCTTACAACAGGTGGAGATGCATGTTTTTGGGAATGAGTTGTTTAACTCATTTGCTCATTGAATGAATAGTACTTCAACAATACTATGAATGTTGAGATGCAAAAGAATTTTGGTTTATGGAGTGGAATGGTACTGCGCAGCACTGTCTAAGCAAAAGAAAATTTGGCTTTTTGGTCAGTTAAGTCTCTGTAGTGCTGAATAACTAGTGATACTAGAATTAGGATTAGTACAAAGCAAGCTCCTTGATGAATGCATAGGAAACTCAAAGCAATTATGTAATGTTAGTAACACAAGCAAGGTGTAATTCCATTCTGTGTGTATTAGAATAAAGCGTCTTTACACATTAGATGCATAAAACATTCCACTTTCTCAAATGCGACAACAGAAGATCTTTTTCCATCAAACTATACATATGTTAAGGCCCCTTTTTACTGTTTTAGTGAATTTCAAGCTAATAATATGGGAAATGAAAGTTGTATATAAATAAGTAGCATTTGGTCATGTTAAATGACTTGCCCAGCATTATCATATTCCTAAATTTAAAGGCCTTTATTATATCCCTTTTATTCTCTTACCTGTGCTAGCAAATTCACATCAATTTAATTCTCATTTAGGGAAGCATTTAAATAGACCATACTCTGCTAGAGATCAGTACAAAACAAAATCTGTGTGTTGGAAGAAAAGGTTAAAGGATCTAAGATTATTAATCAAAGTCAGGGAGTTGCTTGTCTCCTTATCACCACTATATATTACATTTTACAGTAACAAAATCTGTGGGCCTGAAACAGAGCCTAAAGTGATAATTAAAAAGACTTACAAAGTTCTTGTAGAAGGCCAGAAACATAGAAGACAATAAATGGTAGCTATATTATTTGGGCTGTTAAAAGCTACTTTGAGGAAGTAAAAGCCAGAATGTTCCCAGATTTTTCTTGAACATAGATTATTTAGTTTGTATCCTGTATGTTACAGTTTGCAGGTGTTTTCATAATCATGGTTACATTTCTGTTGTTGTATTGCTCCTCAAATCTAACGTTCATTGTGTAGTGATAGATTAGTAGCTATTGGTGAATGTTGAGTAGACATTTCTTTAAGAATAATAAATGAAACCCACAGCAGGTGGCAGTTTGGGGCAGGAGAGCCATTTTTGGCAAGATCTGAATGGTACTGCTGATTCTTCAGCCTGATATGTAGTGTATACAATGCAGCTGAGGTTTGGGGCTTACGGGGGTTTGGTGGGGGTTCTGTTTTGAGGCTTTTGTGTGTGGTTTTTTGTTTTGTATTTTAAGAAATCTAGTTGCTGAGGCAATTTAGAACTGAAAATGAAAGGCAGATTGGTCTGCTATTTAAAAAACATTCAGTTTGGCTCCTTGGACAAAGAGTGGTTGAGGGTTTTTTTTCCTTGCACCATAATTAAAGATAAAATTTAAAATACACTATAAAATGTTATATGTTATTGATAGCCTGATTTGCTAAATAGAATGCAGTTAGTTTTTAAGCATCTTTGCTGTAAGAAGTCATCAGTATATTAACTGTACTGTCAGTTATGTTTTAAAATAGTTCCTGTTCAGTAAATGTTACTTGGAAAGTCACAGAGAATGGTTTGAAAAATCAGCAAAGTACTCTTGTAGCAGACTTAAGCATTATTTCTTAATTTTATTCTTTTTGTGGATGCCGCTATAAATTAAATACTTTGCTTAAACATAACTTCAGCTCAGATATAAGTGCTATGTTATACATTCTTTGAAATAATCATACTACACTTAGCACAAAAAATGGCATCAATGGATAGAAATAACTGTATTTACACATAGTCCTTCAGGTTGTAGCCTGTGTTGCTCTCCTGCTCTGTAGATGGGAAATGGTGCTGCTTTGGAGAGTAAATCCATGCTCCTTGCTGCTTTTTAAAACATGAAGTGCAGAAGATAACACCTGCGGTAAGCAGAAACCCTGCTGAAATAAATCCTGTATAAACTGCTCCTCCTGGTTCATGTTTACTGCTCTCTGGAACGGTCTGGTCCAGAAAATTTGAAATAATTTCTTTTGTATACCAGGATGTTGGTACTAATCCAAAAATTCCTGCAAGAATGAAGCAGACTCCTCCAGCAAAACAAGCGTGACTTTTGCTGTCAGTGTCCCCTCCCAACTTTGTACACTTCATTCCAACTGTAGTGATGCAGATCCCAAAGGCCGATAAGATACAAGACAGTACCATGGTTGTCCGTGCAGCTTGGATGTAGATGGGGAGAGAGAGAACAGAGTATTTTAGAGTACAGCTAAACATCCCAGTGCTGTACCATGTGCAGTCCATCCAAAGTCCTTGCATCTGTGTTATAGCTGTTATGATATTTGAACCAACATCTGCATTTACCTTCCAGTTTGGTAGCAAGGTGGCTGTGATATCTCCAAAAACACCAAACAAAGCCAGAATAAAAGCAAAGAACTGCAGACTTGCTGATGCCATGTTGATTATCTGCTGTCACCTTTTGTCTGCCCTTTCTCTCTTGTAAATGAGTGTAACTGGTTGGTAGCTTCGTAGCCAAGGCTGTAGCCCTGTGTAACAGGGAGGAAGGGGAGGGAGGAGAAATGCAAGGGAGAAAGAAAAAGAAATCAGCAAACCACAAAAGCTTGCATTTAAAATTAGAGCTATCTGAATGAATATCTGAACATGACCCTGAAGCAGATGAGAGCAGCCGAGCAGCTGTACACAAGGTACTTGAGCATAAATGATGGCAAATGGACAGTGTTTTAGAATTGCATGTAACAAGGAGCTGCTGCCCTTTCCTACATGATTGCAAGCCATCAGGCTAAACTTATTTTACTGTAGTTGCTTATAGTAGTAGTATGCAGATTGCAGGCTTGCTAGACAAATATATATTGTCAATGGAATATTAGAAACTTGCAGATTATAAATCATTGCAGAAAAACACTGTGGTAGAAAATATATTCTACTCTTCAAGTACCTTCCTTAAATGTGTTTATGGCTGTAGTCGGTTCCTGTTGACTATTTTATAACAATGAATATTGATAATATTTTCTTTTGTTTGAAGAGTAGTTAAAGGTAACCCTTTATTTCAGTTATTTTAATGTTGTCCTTTTGTTTAATAAATTACAACATTTCCTGGGTTTGAAGGGGAATAAGACTGAATTTCTTTTTTGCAGTATTTTCACAATTAAGTCATGTGACTTTTGTAAATCAGTATTTTATTTTCAGTGATTCATTGACTTAGAGCAGCCTGTCTGAAAGAATTTACAAATTTGCTATGAAGTGGCAGTTTTAAAAATTCATTAAAAAAATGCTCCTTGCTATTCCTGCATAAAGAGTCAAATTTCATTTGCCAGATGAGAATGTTTTAGGCAGTATGATAACTGCACCTGGAAAGACAGAACCATTGCTGTTACAGCAGCTGGACTGTTGGGACAGCAGATGAAGACCAATGGTTTTAGACCCTTGTAAGGAGGATTAGAAATGGTGGCCTGCCTTTCAAGTGGGTCTGTGTAATTGGCAAGTTTTGTCTTTTATCAGAGTGATAACAGAAAGGGCAGTCCTCTTTTCTGGATTATGCTTCCTGAGACATTATCTCTATAAATATGAACAATAATATTAAAATTGCTGTTTAGCATTAGAACTTTTTTGAAAAGCTGTGATAATAAGGGTTAAGATTGGAATAAGTGGAACACAGTATTTGTCGCATTGTACTCATTTCATTATATGTAAGACGACAAGGTTTTGATCAATATATATCAGTATTTGGTGGCATTACATAACATGTAATTCTCTAATTTATATATTGTACTTAGTGCAGGTAATTGTTCAAGGATATGCTCACTCTCTCCAGCATACATCTATTTAAAAATTATTATAATTAAGTATTTGACTATTCACAGCTACTTATTCTTAAAATCATACTTCAAAGACATGCCTATTTCCAAATCCCTTAATTTTGTTCAGACTGAAGAGTATGTCATTTGCTGTATCAGGCCTATGAGAAAGATGACTTAACTTCCTTTTACAGAAGGAACTGACATGTCTTGGTAGCTCAGAACTCATTCAAAAGCATATTCTGGAACAGCTAATTAGGGTCTTGAGTTAGCTTTTTTCATTGCTTCCTTTTTAAAATTTCAGCGTATAAAAACACACGAGCATAAACGTAAATTACTGCAAGTGGTAGTCATACATTACATTTAATGGGATGAACCAAAGTAAAGGCAAATAAATCTAAGTATATGCACTGCAAGTGTAATAAAAAATAGAGTTATGTTTCATTCCTGGTTTTGTAGCACTTACTGCTGGATGTGAGGTCTGAGATGTTTTCTTCACTGCAGACGTCCTAGAAAAATGCAGTTTTTCTTGAATGGAATTGTCCTTTCTCATATAAAACTGCATTAGCAAAATTTCTTGGAATGTTGTTTTTTTCTCTTCTCTACAGCAAGTGCATTACTGCTGTTTGTTCGCTCTCTTAGTTCCATCCACCCGAGAATAAAGGAGTACTTTGTTTAATGAGTTTTGTTTGACAAAATGCTCAGTAAGGGAAAGCAAAGAGATTACGGAGGAAAACACATAGAGGTCCTTAGTCCTAAATACATAATGATATCCAGGTTCTGTGATGAAAGCTCTGGGCTCTATGATGAAAACTGTGAGCAGTGATTAAAAGGAATAAAATCTTGGGAATCCAGAAACTGTAGACTTAGGGATTGGGGGGTGAGGGGGTGAGAGGTGGGTTAGACGCTGAGGGGGGGAGGGTAGGTTTCATTTAAGTTGAACTGAGACCTGGAGGGTTTTGTTGTTTGTCGGTTGTTGGGGTTTTTTTTTGGGTTGTTTTTTTTTTTTTCATCTCAGATAATCTTATTAAGAGTTTAAATTTCCTGGGAAAGAACTATGCAATTTATTTTAACTTGTAATTGGAACAGCAGGGCATTTCTATTAAGTACACTTTTTGCTTATCCTTGGTAGCCTTAGCCTTCTGTAGGTCATTCTATAACATACTACCTTTGTATGCATCTGTATAAAAGGATGAAAGGATAAAGCTGCTAGAAAGGCTTGTGTGGTAACTGCAGCACATCAAAGAAGCGTCCTTGACAATTTGCTGTGTTAAATCAAGAAGTTAGGAGAAAAATCTTGCCGACTGCAGCAGTGATATATACACATGGGTTCTGCACCTGACTTTTAGCTTCCTGTGATCCTGTTTGTGATCCTAGTATGAATGGACTAATTACAAAGCTATTCTTACAGAGGAATTAGATTATTGCTGTTAGTGTAGTGGCACAGTTATTTTCTGCTGAAAAGTGAACCAAAATGAAGCCTTTGGATCAGAACAAGGTTGCTAAGAGGTACACATATGTGGTGTTAGATGTAACATTTATCTGTAGTAGATAAAATTCTGGTACTGAGCATTTAGCTTGTGAGAGTGCTTGCTTAGAAGTGTCTTAATAAGATCTCAAGCAGTCTGTTTTAATGAAGTTGTAATATGCTGCTTAGGTTTCAGTTCCCTGTGAGGAAATTGTAGCTTGAAAAAGGATCTTTGGGTTTCTTTTAATACAGCCCTGTTGCAAGATACATGTATTGCCCATCATGAGACCCTTATTTGTCAAGAATTATTAAGTAAAAATTGCCTCGTTTAAGCTTATTCTGATTTATAGTGTTGGTTTCACCAGTAAGGCAGCAGACTTCTCTGAATTAAATTGTGTTCTTCCTACCCTACTAGAACGTAAACTTTCAATGTCCAGTTACCTTAAGCCAGCAAGGGGAGAATAATTGCCATACTACTGACAGTTCAGGGTATATCAGTTGAGTAATATTCATATTCATTATGTTGTGAGAATTGAGTATTGTTTTGTAAATATGTCTGACATACTTGGTAGGGTGAAAAAGAAAAGTTTTACTGGTAAAATTATTAGCAAATTAATATATGCTGTTGTGTACTCTGTTGGCTTTCATAATTCTACTCTATGCATATTAAAAAGCTTAGAGAAAAATAGCGTGTATAATTTTAAAGGAGTGGCCAATTACAAGCAAAAAGCTTTCCCCCTGTATCTGTTACTATAGTAACCAGGCAGCTTTCCTGGGGTCCAAAGAAAACAGCGTTTATAATGGAACAAATGCTGAAAAGTGCTGTGTTTTGTTTCAGAAGCAGAAATTATTGCCCACTGGCCTTGAGATTACAAATTGAGCTGTTTTTCTGTTAAACTGTACACTGCATGTAGATGGTGTTCTTTTTTTTAGTTCTTCAGAAATTTTTGTTAAAGGTGCAGCTCCAGCTCTCGGAGAAACCTCATATATCACCTGTGAGCAGTTCTGCAAAACTGAGGTCTCAAAAGATCTTTCTGGTTGTTTTCTTATCCCTGATTTTGTGGAGAAAATACTTTGTTTCATTTCTTGACTAAAGCATAGGTAAACATATACATATGTGTATGAAAGCCTTCAGTATGTCTGTGAAAACAGCTGGTTGGTTATGTGAAATATGTATTTGCCCTGTTCTGCCTCAGTGTCAGCACAAGGTTTTGTTGTCTTCTTGTGGTCTCCCTGACAGGTATCCGCAACCTGTGGCAAAGGTAGAAACTATCGGCACTTCAGAAATTCAGAAACTGCTTTGGAAAACAAGTTTATGTGTCTTTCACTGCAGATTCCATATGTCACATTTTCTTTGTTACATAGTTTTTAAATAAGTTCTTGTGTCATTACATTTTAATAATTTATGGGTTTTTTTTCCTATCTTATTCTTAGCTCTAGCTTTCAGAAAGGGTGGAAAAACAGAAAAAAAAGCATTATCTGCAACATGTACTTAGGTTAGCACTGCTGATACTGGAAACTCACTGTAGTTTTTTTCATCAGCACCGTTAATCAGTGGTTATTTCCTTTTCCTAGCCAGTATTTTCATTTAGCTTCATAAGTTCTGTCTATGTGAAGAAACTTGTTTGAATTTAATCATTTCTGTTGAAAGCAAATACAATACCTCTGCTGTTGAAATAGTTGTAGCGGATGGATGTACTTGACAGCTGAGCTGTTTCCACTGAAAGTACAACATGGATGGATGGCACTTTTGTGCCAGAAGAATATGTCCACATCAGAGGTTACTACTATTTAATTGATTTTAAAACCCTCCACAAACTTAGAGCAGTTTTGGTTAAAGCAGTAGAAAAAAACACCTTACTTTTTTTGAAGTATTCTTTTGCTATGGGTTTTCTCAAACAATTGGTACACTGAGAGTGTGCTTAGAACAAAAGGTGTATATATGTCTCATTTCACCCAGAACAAGCACGTCTTCAGTTTAATGTGACATAGACTGTTCCATAAATGACAATATTGGCTTTCAGACCTTTTAAAAAGATGGATTATTTTTTGTCCATCATACGAGCAGACATTTTTAATAAGAAACTGAATATTTTTAAAAGTCTGGAACTTAAAAATTTTGTAGTCATACAGCACTAGTACTTGTAGAAATCATATAAATTGTCAGTGTCCTTCTTCACAGGAATTTTTCATTTATATTGTTGTTAATATCTAGTATGGAAGGCAAACTGCTTTACTCGGTGTTGTGCAGAAGTGGATTTTTAGCACAGCCTCTATTTTTTTAATACAGAAGTCTGAATTTAGGGCATCTTTGTGTAATACAGTATCTCTATAACTGCATGACATATATACATATTTTGGGGGTTTATATATATATGTTTTCAGACACAGGGAAAGTAACTATTTTGTGAACAGAGCTGATTTTAGAACTATAAAAAATAAAACAGTTGAAAAAGATCTTTGTAGAATTATTTCAATATAATTTTGGATGAACTGTGATACACACTATAAATAGAGTTGTGTGGTCACTTAAAATGGGTGCAAACTTATTTTAACCTACCATTCCTTTAAATGGACAAGAATTTTACACTCTTAGTATGCTGAAAACTTAATTCCTTGGCTTACATTTGAAAAAAAGCCCTAGAGCAACAGAAAACATATAGGGAATGGGTTTGATTTCTAATTATAATACCAATTTTCTCCAGCTGCCCTTCAGCCTGTATATCAAATATTGCCTAATTTGTGTATCATGTCAGAATTATCTTGTGGAAGGATTTGAAGAACAGAGTGCTAATTACTTTACAGATTACATGGAAGTTGTTCTAGATTGAGGAAGAGCCATGGGGAAAAAGGTACTGAGTATTAATGGCATATGAACTAATTGGAAATATGTAGATAAGTACGACTAAAATTCTGTAGGGCCGTGAAATTTGAGCTGAATTTTTATATTCAAATACCATGACATTTGTCACTGCAGTTACGTTAACTGTCACAATAATGTCTTCCTATGTTCTGCCTGTTTCCTGAAGTCTAGCTGGTTAACATAGAAATAATGTGTCTCAGAGGAATATATACTCAAATTTCTCTTTCTTTTCCATATAGGTGGATGTGGCTGTGGTGCATTTCACTCCACTGGTGCAACCAAAGATAGAGCAGCCATTTGAACTCGTAGAAAAAGTGGTTCAAAGTGTTTTTCAGTTTAGAAGAAAATACTGCTTCCGTGGACTTGAGTAAGATCTCTTATGATAGTGTCTCAGATACTGGTTTTGAAAATGCATCGGCACTTGTAGCTATACATTTGATTTTATTCCTCCCATTTTAAATTTGTCATCATAGTTTATCAGATTTTCCATTTCTGAATAATTTCTGGAGGCAAAGTATGAGATGAATCTCTGCTGTAATTATGTAGTAATTATTGTTAGTGTAATTCAAGTTGTTAAAATTACTAGGATAAATTACTGATAATTTATGTCTTGGAAAGAAGCAAACAACAAAAACTATGGCATTTTTTGGTTGAGTTACAAAATGAAAGTGTCAAAATTCAGAACCCATGAACAGGGAGAGTATCACCTGTGGGAAATTTTACTTATTTGGGGTTAATGTCAAAAGGTTAAATTCTTTCTGTGCTTGCCCTTGTATGGAGTTCTTACTGACACTTTAAAAATCCCTAGGTTTACTGAGGGAATTTACTAGGTTCTCTAAGTGATGTGAGAAACCTGCAGTCTCTTCACCAAGGATCCTGTTAAAACTCCAGCATGGCCACGTGTCTGGCTTGGTATGGGAAAAACCCAGCATTCAGCATTGTAGAATGTAGGAGAGAGCTGCTGTTAGGACTAGAGGTGTGCTGTTGCTGGGTGGGCTAGCTGAATGTTACTGGGCATGGTCTTGGCCCTCATGTAGTCCAGTTAGGTAGGATGCCACCTTATGGAACTACAGGCCTTAACTATCACTATTTTAAAGGTGATTATAGAAATTTTGTGGGGCTGTTATTTTTTTCCTTGAAGTAGTAAATGCCATTGATGTAATGGAGGCAGACACTGGATCTAAAATGAGTATTAATTTACCTGTGTTAAGGTTTGAGGTAGTTAGAAAATGATGTAGTCAATCTCTAGATGAGTTTGATTTACAGGATGGTGGTTTGGATTTTTTATTTTGTTGGGGTTTTTCTCATTTCAGTTGACAGTGTAAGCAGAAGGCATGTGCAGTCAGCATATCTACTTTATGTAGAATATATTTGGCAAAGTTAGAAAAAAAAAACACAACTAATCTCAAATGGCTACTAACTGCTCAATGGGTTTGTTTTTTTTGAGGCAAGGAGCCAGAGCCTGAACTTTTGCACATCACATATCCCATAGCAACTTGTGCTTTAGTCCTAGTGTGCAGCTAAGAAATACAGTCCTCTTATTCTTCAGCTTGAAGACTTGAAAAAAATAGCACATTTTGGGTGTGTAGTAAGTCTGAGTTCATTATAAGGTATTTGTCTACCTATGCATCACATACACTGTACAAAA